TATTATGCCAATGAATCCAGATATATTGTACAACGTTGAAAACAAAGAAGGGAAGTATAAGATAAAGAAAGGAAGACCCAGAAAGCATATCTCTAGAGAAATCAGTGGAAAAATTAACAAGAAACCGAAAAGTATGAAAAAACTGCATAAAAATGAAACAAAGAAAGAGAAAAATATTCTGGAAATAATTTATTTGAATATTGTAATTTTTGATACCAACTCTAAATAAAACCAATACATTAGTTATTTACACTAAATATATTTCAATAGCTTATACGTTAGTCGGTACAGCAATCATGAATGAAATTATAAATTTAATAATATTTTTAAACAGGCTTTGACATATGAATGAAAATTTAAATTTATAAATAAACATGAGCTCATAAATAACATCAATAACGTACTATGACATAATTCCAAATTTTTTTTGTAATGCAAGCACATCTTTTAATCTTAGATATTTAGACCGGATGATTCAAATGATTTGAAACGGAATCTACATTTTTTGATTCCTGCTTTCTCCACGCTGCTGGGTTGTCCCTCGCTTTTATTTTGGCACATTTGATGATGTCAAGATTTTAAAAATAGGTCTGGTATTGCGAACTACACATCCGAATGTTAGTATCAGTGACTTAACTATTGGCTAAAAAACTCGAGAGATACTTCCAGTTACGATTTATTATCGGCAATTGTGGTTATTTTTGTATTTTCTGATATATTTTATGTTAATGAAGGTATTTATTCTAAATCATGACAGCTACATAAATTCTACATCCTTTAAACATTTTTTGCGTAATATGAAAGTCTGACATTTTTAATATATTTAGGTTTATTCGTTAAATCACTTAAACAGAAAATTATATCTTATTTTATTTTTTTATTTACTATATTTTAAGTTACTTCATTTATTTTTCAAATAATGTTGAATTTTATTAACAACTTAAAATCTACTATTTACTACATTAATTGAAAATGCCTATAAAATTTTAAAATAATTAAAATCACTTTATTATAGTCTATTTTTATGTTTGAGAGAGTATTAAAATAATAAAGCGTTCGTAATCCATAGGCGTACTACTTCTTTTAGTAGACAGTTAAAATATTTTTTGAAGTTATTCCTCGAGTATACACTTATATTTTCACCTAATTAACCTGCTTATAACTTCTAAACAGCTGAAGGTAAAAAGTGCAATTTTTTCTAAAATGTTTTATTTTTCCACAAGGTATGTTAAGAACATTGTGTCAAACGGGTTATGTAGGTATAAGGGTTTAAACTTTGACTTTTAAACAACGTTACGTTCATAAATAATAATTTTAATATAAAAACTACTTCTTACCTACAAATCCAAATCAGAATCGAAATCAGAAGATGAACTGTCGCAACCAATATTTACAATGAGTGGCTCGATCATTTCATCAGTAATATTGTCCAACTTCCACATTTTCTCTTCTTCTTTAATCGTATGATTTACTGCCTTTTCCCAGTTTTTAGGCTTCACATTATTTACAGCCTCCAAAAACAACTATTTAACATCACTCATTTTAAAAGAATTATTTTTTCTTGAAACTTCTCCCTTTATCTGTGCCCATATCAGTTCAATCGGGTTTACTTCGCAATGATATGGTGGTGATCTAACCACCGTCATCCCACGATTTTTTGTAATTTTATCAATTTCATATTTTTTGAATTTCTCTTTATGAAGGGAACACAAATGATACAGTTCTTTTCTCACAGAACCGGGATGGAACTTAATATTCTTTGAATTTAGCCAATTCTGTAAATCTTTTTTTAACCACTTAGTTGTGGGCATTTTTTCTATAAGTCTCGAGTGATAACTTGCATTATCCATTACTATTATACAGTTCTGAGGAAGAAGATCTATAATTTGTTCGAACCACTCTTTAAAGACATCAGCATTCATGTCCTCATGGTAGTCACCGGTACGAGTAGATTCAACAGTCAATAAACCACCTTTAACAAAACCGTTTGAACTACCGATGTGTACTATTATTAGTCTGCGCCCCTTTCCTGATGGTGGATTTAAATCAGTAGATAAATTATTTAAAAAAGCCTGTCTTCGACTTGTAACAGTTTCATCTTGCCAAAATTTATTTGGTTTATGTCCCTCGTTGATCCATGTTTCATCTAAATAAAATATATTTCTTCTTTGGTTTCTCATTTCTTTTATAGTCCTTAGGTAATTTCTTCTCCATACTACAATATCGCTTCTTTCTATTAAAATAGACTTTCTGGAATGCTTTTTCCATACAAAACCTATTTCTTTTAAAAGTTTCCATAATGTGCTTCGACTTATTTCAGGGTAATCCTTATCATCTCGAACAGTGGCAAGAACTTTATCTACTGTCGGAAATTCTTTTCTAAAGAAGAACGCATGCACTTTCCTTCGAAGTCTTTTTTTCAAAAGATTTTTTAATTTTGGTTTTCCTGGAGCTTTACGTGCTGTTTGAAACTAGCGTACTACTTACTAATTCCACTGTGTCATCAACACTTTTACATAAATGTTTGTCTGTAAATGATTTAAAACAATTAAATATTAATGTTTTTTCATTAACTGTTAAAGGACCGATTTTTTGTCGTTTACGCGGCCCTTCCAAATTTTCCATGATTACACTAGAATTCACATTTAGTAAACTGTCAAGAATACACAACTTGGACCTCCTTACTAAATGGAAAACCTCTAACCGCATTTTCAGTGAAATTTGTTGGGAAGGTATTTATCTATTTATAATTCGATTACTGTAAAAAATTCTTGGAATTAAAATAAAACAAAATTGGCAAATAGGTACTTATTGAAAATAATCTTAAGATACGGCTATGTAATCTTTAATACACAGGGCTTTTGGCCTGTCCAAACCTTTTTCTATTGTTCTGTTCAGCTTATGTTTATAAAGGACCAATAAAAGACCCAAAACTTGTAATAGCTCAGGTACATTTATTACAATTTTAGGAAATATTTAGATTATTCTGTAAAAATATTTGAAATGACCGTACTAAGTTTTGCATTAGAAATGCTGTTTTATTACTCTCTCATACATAAAAATAGACTACAGTACTTTCATTATGTTTATAAGAAAATTACGAGTGACACTTTATTCGTCTGGCGTGGCGTCAAAACAAATAGGTAACCATTTTAGAAATTTAATTATTTAAATTCATAGAAAATGCGTTATTTAAATTTTACCTCTTTGTTATTTCATTGGTTGGAAGTCAGTTTTCTATGATTACCAAAAAAATGTGCATCTCTCTCGCTCTCTTTCACCAGTTATTTATATTTGCTTTCTCTAGATTCATTTGTATCCATTTGTGACCATTTTTCTTTGACGTCCTTTTATTATTTTAATTCCATCATACACTTTTTTACTATTCTTTCTTCTAGGATTCCTATAACTTACCTTATCCATCTGCCCTATACTCCAATTATTTTTAAAATCTTAGACAATTCATTAACTATTTCTTATTTTGACTCCTTAAAATTGTTTCTTTAAACTTGTTTCCTTATTTTTAATTTTTGTTCATATTGTTTTGTTTTAGTCCAGGTTTCACTTTCATACATTACTACTGGTCGAATAATTATTTTGTATACGAATGTCTCGATTGCTCTCGTTATATTTTTTACTTTAATGTCTAACTTTGATTCAGAGCTGGGCAGTAATTGCTTCGAAAGTGCTTGAAAAAGTGCTTCAAAGAAAATAGTGCTTCGAGCACAGTGCTTGCAAGCATATTTAAAATACAGTACTTGGTAATTGGTAATTGAATCCCATAATAAAAAATGCTTGATAATTGGTATTAATTGAATTTCACATTTCAAGCCATTTAAACTTATCACACGTGACTCTGGTCTTTTAAAAATGGCGATATGTAGTTCTTCCTTCTCTCCTCAAGAATTAGCTCGATAGCTAATGCCCAGAGCTCTTGTTTTATCAATTTTAAACCGTTGCGAGTCGTTTTTTTTTTGACGTCATAGGGTTTCATACACCAAGAACGTTAAATCCTTAAAAAGAATATTTTTATTGTTTGTTTTACGGATTTGTTGACCTCTCCTTTTAACTACAGATATTTTCAGAAACCTCTGGTGCTCAATCAGCATAGTTTACCGACAAAGACCCGACGAGCCTAAGCGTAAAGGCGTACCAAAAAAAAATAGAGATTAACATTTAAAATTGCATTTATATTTTTATGTGTTTTCCAGTTTTGGACTAAAATGACTATTATGGCAACCATTTACAGCTACAACAATCAATTAGAGTACAGTGGTCAAAAAGACATTAACAATTTATTAACAAAATTTTGCAGTTAAGATTGTTTTGAGTAATTGGTGCTTGGTAATTGAATTGTAAAATTACTTTTCTCGGTAATTGGTAATTGCAAGCACTTAGAAAATCCAAAATGCTTGGTGCTTGCTGTTCGAAGCACTTTTTTGAGTACTTTGCCCAGTTCTGCCCTTTTTGACCCTTGCTTGTAACTGGTGTCTTGATTTTTAAAATTATTATTTAAAAAGAAAATAGTTTAATACTGGGTTAGTTCTAACAGACAAACAAAAATTGTCGGTACATCCCGACAAGAAAATCGGAGAGGTAACCGTAGATATCTTTTTATGACTATTGGTTTTGTGCAGTACGATGCAGACAAAGTTAAAGAGGCATTGAAATTGCGATGAAAAAATACATAAAGAAGGTCACTAAAGATACTAACCACACTTTTCTAGTTTCGTCCTGTATATCCAGCCTTTTCTGGCAGTTATAGCGACCATATCACGAGGGTCTACTGACTAATTTAGTAACGCAATAATAACCTTAATTAAATAATATTTATAGAATATTTAATTCCTATGTTTGATACTTATGATGCTGAACCAACCACAAATGCTTTAAAAACAATAAACATATTACAATATCAACAAAACTTTTAATGCTCAAACTATTTTTATTTATTAAATAAAATATTTGAAAAATATTTAATTCTGCTCTGTCCTTTTTAGGCTTTTAACTGACCTACAAGAAAAACAACAAAAAACCGAGGTAGACCTGCAAGTTATTGAACAGGCTTTGTCCGATATAGCAACCAAGAAAGCAAGCCTTCAAAACCTTAAAAAGGAAGTGGAAAATTTCTACGTATTCGACTCAAATATCTCGCAAACAGAAGAAGACTTCAAAAGGCTTCAAACCAAAGTTAACGCTGAGCTTAGAAGCACCAAGGAATTCTCCAGTGGGATAATCAAGAAGTACACAACTTCCCAGAACTTGGTACCTTCAGATATCTCCCAACAACTGAATCAACTAGAACTGTTATCTGAATCTGTAACAACAGCAATGGAAGAAAAAGATAGAGAATTCAAGAAGGCGCGTACCATTAGAACCGACTTTTCTAATGACGTAGACGAAGTGCAATCATGGATCAAAGATGCTGAACTTAAAATCCAAGATAGATCCATCGAACCACAACTATTACATGAGCATCTTCAACAAATTCAATTAGAATTAAGCAGCGTTCACGATAAACTCGATAAACTTACTAGAAATGGACGAATTATTATTGAAAAAACCAAAGACGATGAGGAAAAAGAACTGACGCAATCTACTATTAATAATTTGACTGATCAATTCGTTCAACTTAAGTCGTTGCTAGACGAGAAGAAACAACAAATTGGGGAAACTTTAGATGCTTGGTCTCGGTTCCTCAGTTTATATCAAGCCGTCATGCAATGGGTCGCTGAGAAGAAGGTGTTCCTCAAGGATCCTCTACATCTTAGTACATTGACTGAGGCTAAGCAAAAATTACATGAATATTCGGTAAGTTTTGGAAATATTTTTATTTACAAATGTATATAATTAGTCTGATTATTATCTTTGATTTTATTATTTAGTATAATTTGTATAGCAATAACAATAACAATATATAAATTTTGAAGCATTTAGTAACATAAAGAACTTTCTCCACCTTGTTTTGAAGCTAACAGTAGACAAAATATGAACATAATTTATTATTTTTTTAACAGTTATTATTTAATTTTAATTTGTTTAATAGTTTTACCTCTTAATTGATATAATTTTCCTCTAGTTTCTAATTTATTTATGGTCTTTACTGGAAATTACTATAAATTCTTCTACTGGTCACATTTTTTAGTTAAAGCAGCTCTTTGGATGATATAGACAATTTTTATTGATTTTTCTCATATTATAAAAATCCTGGTTTTTCGTTTAGACAGATGAATGATTACTGCTGAATTTTGAGTTACATTTTTATTATTGCATGTTTAATAAAATACGTTTAGAATATCTATAGTGGTTACGTCACGGTCACGCTATCTTTTATACATCAAGAAATTAATAGGAACTAACCTATTTATAACCAATTTCAAATACTAGTTTTTTTATTACATATTACTCATTATAAATTTATCTGCTGCTAAATTTAAACTTTTTAACAATCGGTGATAAAAGACCAACGTAAAATTTAATAGTAGTAGAGTTTTGCGGAAAATAGTTACTAGTCACGAATAATAGGTAATAAATTATATTTGAGTGATATTTACTTTACTTTTGTAAACCAACTTCAGCAGTTAATCATGAATTTTTCATTTATAAATGTTAGGGAACTGGGGGATATGATAATTTCATTGTAAAATGTGAAATCGTATTTCTTATTTAAAAATATGAGCCATTTGTAAGTAGAATAACATTCCTAAAAACTCCTCGGTCTCGGTAGTTATTTAAGATTTTATAAAGTAGTAGGAATCAACAACAATTGAAAACATACCAGAACGACACATAAATGTGGGTTCATACCACATGAACCAGCGCCTCATCTAGTGAAATATTTACTTAAGGGTCCCGCATGGATCCAAAATGAGCAAGAAGGGGAACTAAATACAGTTGTTTATTTTTAAGTGACATTTGTTTCTATGTCCCTAAATGCAAAACCGAAAGGACATCCCCTGTGTCTGTATATAAATGCATACTAAATGAAAATAACGCATATTTATCTGTTTAGAATGCCGTCAAGAGCTGCAAAGGTGCTACCAAAAACTTGAGTGACATGGCTAAAGAATTAGAATATATCGGCAACGTTACAAACGTTGGTGATCTTCCACAAAAAATGGAAGAAGCCGAAGAGGCTAAGATCGAAGTGGAAACTCTAATTCTTGAAAGGGTAAATAAACAATATATATTCTAAAAAAAATCTTCTTTATTATCTTTTATCTTTTTTAGAACGGACTATTATCAGAAACATCTGAAGAATGGGAACAATGCGAGAAAAAGATCAAGGACGTACGTATCTGGATAGACAAAACAAAAACTGCTTTAGACTCTCCACAAAACAAGAAGAAACCACTTAGAGACCAACACGGTTTGAGAGAAAAATTGTTGGCAGATATTCAGATACAGAAAACGAAAATTGCTTTGTCGGTAGAAAAATTACAGGTAACATTTAATTTTAAGACACATTTCCATATAAAACTATCTTCATCTTCTCTATCTACATTTCCACGTCTGAGGATTATCAAACGCATTTGTCTAAAATGTTCGTTACTTCTACCATTCCAATATTCGTTTCTACCTAACTGTATTTCTTTTTCTATTTTGTTTTTATATTCTAATTATATTGGCTGACGCATTTCAATAATCGGTAGCCCTGGTTAGTCACAATATATTGAGGAAACTCCTGCCTATTTTTTAGTCCAAATCTAAAAGTTAGGACCCATTTTTAGTTATCAAAATTTAAAAAAAGTCTTGTAGTAACGAAGATATTGATAAGTAAAATTGGAAGTTGGATAACTTGTATGATCATCATCAAGTAGTGTAAAAGACAATAAACATGTTGACTTCAAGGCTGGTATGTAACAATGTGTAATGTATAACGGAGACAGAGAGCAGCAAGAGAAGGAAGTGATGTGTTAGAGAAAATCCAATTGGGAAACTTGAGTAACAATGGTGATGCTACTTCATCAGTTTATTAATTAGTCAGGCTACCATACTAGTGTTAAGTCGTAAGGGAAAACGTAAGAGATGAGTCACAAGTGAACACAGTATGAGTAGTGTAGAAATATTAAAACCCCTACTAATAACTCCAATTTAGGAGTAATGTTCCACAGATGGTTAGTGGGTGGATACACAACATGCTCTTAAATCAAGCTGTAAACATAAGTGTAGAAGATGTGAATGTAAGAGGCTTGCTTGCGAGGGGCTGTCCACAGGGAGGGGTGCTATCACCTCTACTGTAGAATATGGTCCTTGGCACCCTCATCAGCCGCCTCGATAATGACAGTCACTATACAATATAGGATGCAGATAACCTGGTTATTCTGCAAACAAGAAATTTTCTGAACATACTCTGTGAAAGAATCCAAGTAGCTCTCAAAATTATAAAACAGTTGAGCAAGGACCATTAACTGTCTATCAATCCCGAAAAGACAGAAATGGTCCTTTAGTTAACATAGTTAATATAGTCTTTTAGTTAATACATATGATGGAAACGTCAAGAAAAGAAATTAGTTGTGAAAATAAATAAGATGTCAACAAATATTTGCTGAAAAAGCTTTTTGCATCTAAAATCAATTTTTATTTTCTTTAAGTCATTTTTGACTTGATAATGGCCATACATGACCGAAACTAGTAGTGTAACGCGCATACTCTTCGAGTCGCTCGTGTGCTGTACCAAACAGATGCGCCACCTACTGAAAAATCCGTTAAGTTGCGAGAGAAAAGTGGAGAATTGCCATTGTTGTTAACGAGCAAACGTTAATTGACATTTTCAAAGTTAAAATTATTATTTTCTTCAATTGTTTTATTTCTTTAAAAGATTTGTGTTATTCATTTAGCAATGTTGTACAACGATGTTGCTTGTTAAATTCATCATTTGTATTATTTAATGACTTTTTCTTCACAATACCTAATTTCATCCCGCCGAATCCCACAAAACACCGCCTGTAATCACGCAGAACCCCTAACCCACCTTACAATTGGCGCCCAACGTGGGTCCGTGATTAAATTAAACCGCTTTTGGTATTAGCGAACTTTCGGAATTTTTTTCAGATTTAAGTTTCATGAACACAACCTCAAAGTAGCCTCTTAACTATTTAAATTATTTTTGTTTTAAAGAGTTAATAGTTTACTTTTTCTATTTGATATATGGTTGATTAACGGTGCACTTAATTTACTCTTTGAAGCTTATCTACTAATCACACGAGCTTCCTTTTCAGGTACATTTCCGTTCTGGAATCGAGAGCGACTCCCAAGTCACCCAATCAGCCGAAGAGCTAATCATAGAACTCGGCGACTTAAACGCAACAGTAAAATCACAAACAGCTCAATTAGAAACCGCCATTTCACAAGTGGATGGTTACCAGCAAGAAGTCCAACAGCTTCGGCAGCAAATCGTCCAAGTCGAACAACATCTTCGCAGTACGATGGCTCCGACTTATTTACCCCACGATCGAGATCAGGCTCTTCGCGACCAACAGGTACGGTATCCGTGTGGTTTTTCTTTGGTATTAACTCAAAATAACTATTGTGTAGAATAGATGGGAGTGGCATGAACTGTTGTGCCGTTGGTTATAATGATGGTCCAGTTCAGAAGTGACTAAAATGGCTAAAAGATTGACTCGTTCTAGATAAAAACACTATTGATTATCGATTTTGTTCCGGGATATTGGTTACTGTATTATTCCTTTTTTAGAAGACTCCATAATGGTACTGTTGCGCTGATTCGCATAATAACTGTGAATTTGTCCAGTACCCGTACATAATGCAATTGTAAATATGACCAAGCACTTCGTATTTTGTGTTTGTGTATTTTAAGTAAAAATTGGGACAAAGTAACGCTATATCCTCAAAAATATTTATTCAATCCACATACGATCCTGTAAAAATGTCACCAGCAATACTTTTTTATCTATACGCAATTATGCGGATTACTTAATAGTACCATTATAAAGTGTTCTACTGCATTTCTAAGGAATGTAAACGGTAATCAACTAAATTAAACTGCGTCTCTAATACAGGATGACCAAATAAACAATCTAACGCAAAAAAATTCGAACTATTGGAGATGTTTGAATGTTGCAAAAAGATTAGTTAGGATGTATTAATACCAGAAGTTTGAAGATCAAATTATTTTTGAGTTTAAATTATAGATGGCGCTGCATTACAAAGAAACTTTTGGTTTGCTGAAAGTTTGATATGTATGAGGTTTAATTTAAAGTCCGTGATACAAAGTTTGATAGTGTAACTGTTTTCGTGATATTTGCATTTTATTATTGCTACTTGTAGATAAAAAAGAACTGTATCTTTTTTAAATTTGATTTTAGAAAGAAAAGTTATTTAGAAATAACCAAAATCCAGTTTTTGACTAGACAGCAACATTGAAACAAAAATTACACTAAATGCTGTAAAGTTTTCAAATTTTCATGCCACGAATTCTGTTTAGAAATAAAAATCACATACCAACTAAATTGAAAAGTTTTGTGCTACAAAGCCATCTATAATTTCAATAATTGGAAAATGGTTTGTAGTGAAATATTAAGGTACCAATACACCCTAGTGGTTTTTGTCGAAATCAAATATATCGAATAGATTTAGATTATTTGAATTTTTTTTAAACTCACTGTATAATGTAAACGTTATTTATAAAAAAAGATTTTTGGCATTATTTTAAATATCTGTATAAAACCCTTGAATATACTGAAGTTTATTTAGATTTTTTTAGTTCAAAATTACTTTCTTTAAATTTTGTTCATCTCTGGTCTAATCTTTAGACTTTATGTGGGTGAAAGAGACACAGATTAACTGAAGACTATCTGATTAAAAATAAAACGATTACATGAAACATGCTTAGATCAAAAATTACTAATTAAAGTTAAAAATTCAAAAATTATTATTACCTATAATTTTTTATTTCTCAATATAATTTTACTTAATTTTAACCGAATTACACCTATCAGCAAAACAGCCAGTTAAATAAACTTTGCCAGTGGCGTACGGCATGGATGAGTAACACCTCCATCCCCTCTAAATTTTACGTTACTGTCCAACAACTTATTTGGACTATACTTTTACAGTTTTTAATGTTTTGTTAAATAAATCATGTACTTTTGTTGGGGACTCATAAAGCGATTGGTTTTCGAGATAATAACATTCAGATGTGGATATTCTTCATTTTAATTTATTTTTAATTTTGGTTTTTTTATAAAATCAGTTAAATAAACTTTGCCAGTGGCATACGGCATGGATAAGTCACACTTATAAATCTTACGTACACCGCTCTCCAAAAACTTATTTGGGCTATAATGTTTTCATGTTTTTTTAAATAAATCATCTTGTTGGGAATTTATAAAAAAATCCAAAATGACAAAATTAAGAAATAAACTGAAGAATATTCACCTTTAAGTGTGAATATTCTCCAAAACCAATGAGTTCCCAATAAGAGTACATGATTTATTTAAAAAGCATCAAAAAATTAAAAAGTATAGTCCAAATACATTTTTTGAACAGTGGCGTAAAATTTAGAGGGGAGGGAAGTTTATTTAACTGATTGTTTTGCTGATTGGTGCATCTTATGATACCAAAAAGTTTACGGAATTTGGTAAAATTATATAGAGAGATAAACAAATTAGAGCCATTAATAATTTTTGAATTTTCAACTATGTATTTCGGAAACCAGAAATATTTTATCTAAATATGCTTCGTTTAATCGTCCTATTTTTAATCAGAGAATATTCAGTTTTACGTCCCATTATTAATGAGACACCCTGTATATTATTGTTCAAAGAAATTAACTAATTAGATATAAAAAAAATATTACACCCAAATATAAATAAAAAAAGCTTCATTTTCAAATGTTCTATCACAAACAATTAAAATAATATCAAAAATAGTTTAATTTAAGAAGCAGTTTAAACATTATTCAAAAAAAGTGTTTTTAAATCTAGAATACGGTCTAAATTGGTGTTAGAATTTTTATATGTATTTAAAAATATACAAGAATAAAAAATGAATATAATTTAGAGTAAAAGAGAAAAAGCTCATTTGGACTATTATATTTTATAATGGGCTCGAACCATCTCTGTATATATCGATGTTCCTTTAGAAAAACAACGAGCAATTTTCTGGTTTATTTTTATATCAAACTCATTACAGAACGATTTTTTTTTTATTTTGAAATATCAATCAAACACTTTTTCTTCGTTGTTCAAACAAACCAAGACAGGGTTGGTTCAAGCTCGCGCATATCGTTGCAAAAGCTGACTCGATGTTTTTTTTTTCACAAATAATAAACAAATTAAATTCATCAATCTAATCTGCACAGCTAGAATATTTTTACACTTTTAACAATTTTTAACGTTTTTACTAAAACAGACACAATGCTGCTGTGAGTAAAAATATAAAAGATAAATTTATAAAAAAGAAACAACATCGAAAGGACTGTTTTTTTATATAATACTTAAATGAAACAATGAGCTTCTTCTTTGACTCGAACAATGAAGGTAAGAAAGATCGTTGTGAAAAAGTTATTCATAACATAGAAATCAATGTGTACTTACATTATTAGAAGTCAAAATAAAAATACTAAACTTTATTGACGATTTCAATGTGTACCTACATCATAAATCAAAGTTTCAGGACAGTTTATTACAGTTGTAATACAAAGCAAAGTTTGAAAGCAGGTTGTAAAATATAATAAAAGTATGATGAATGAAATAAAATCTGAGGCAATAACAATAATGACAAAAGGTAAACAATATAAATGTTTTAATGTTATATTTAGGAATTTATCTACATATTATTGTGACATTTAAAAAAGGTAAAATATATTTGGGTAAATTGCAATAATTGAAACATTGGAATATTTTCGAAATAGTTAAAAAGTAATTGTTATACTTTCTAGATTATTGGTCTTTTCCACCGCAACCTTTTCAGATCTATGGTGATACTCCGTTATTTAGAGAATGTCATCTAGTTTGCTTGGTCTTTTTTATAGGCTCCCACATGTAGTTACATACTTTTGATTTTTCCTCACTTAATGTTAAAAACTTCAATCCAGCCAGGCCTTCATACTGGAAAAGGATGTATATTGATATTTTATGTTCTTCTTTACATATATTGTACAATGTTGCTTCTTCTTCTGGATTGATACAACTCTTGTGACCTCTTAGGCGACACTGTACGGTAAGAATACCTACTGTGTTATCCTAACAATTTATCATTTTTGATCCAGTAGGTCTTTCGTGAACTTCGCCGATGGTTCCTTATTGGCCTGTCTCAATCTTACCATTCCTGAGATTCTTTTTGCATCGATTGTTTGATTAATGGCTCTGTATAATGCCTTAGCAACTCCACAGAAGGGTCCGGGATCTATCATGGCCTTATCTGAGCTTTCTCGGGCTAGCGCGTCGGTATTTTCATCTCCCTGATATCCTTAATATCCTGGTACCCACCTAAGGTTATTGTTTTGACTATTGAACTCTATCGGATCTTCTAGGCAGTCTTTCATCAATTATGATTTCATCTCTGGTGAGAGAATTGCCTTTGGAGCTTGACTACCAGAGTAGTTGGCAATAGTTTTGTCTGATACTTGCAAATTTATTATGTAGCATCTATTGAAACACTTCTGTTTTTATTAGTTTAAATAAGACAAAGTCCTTTGAATTACACAAAGATATATATTTTTTGTTCCAAGTGTGATCCTTACCAAAGTTATATTACTTCATCCTCCTTACATCCTTTTTTAATTATTGTTTATTTTCTTATATTAAATAAAACACTTTCTTTTTCATTCTAAATACTTTACTGGTTGAATGATATATAAAAATCGGGCAACGCTACTTTTGTAAATCTGAAATAGACGATGCGTATGCCTCCTTGTTACATTGAAAACGACAGCAATGGACTCTTTTAGAGATAAGGTCTTTGAAAACGGAAATTAATATTTGATTTCCAACAGTACCGAGAACGTCTATTTGAAAGACTAAATAGATTGGACTGGCTGAAAGTAACGAAGTTACTTTGTTATTTGTGTCAGGGCTTGAAAGCTTAAGCGGTAATGAAACGGCCTAGTATTTATTCAAAAAGACGTTATTTACATTTCTTTTTGGTCGTTAGCGTCGTGTGATTCTTTTTGAGTTTCGCATAGGACAGAAATTACAGAAAACCCAGTATCTAAGCAACCTTTTAACTATTTGAATGAAGACATTTAAAATAATTTTGCACTAGTCCTATGTTGGTTTCTTTCTGTTAAATTATTAGACAGTTTTATTTATAAATGATGGAAATTCTATAAGAATTAGATCAGAATCCTTATGATCTACTACTTATCATCCTATAACAAATCCAATATGGTTTAATTAATTTAAACAATTATAGATTGAATTGAACTTCCGAAAAATACCAAACATAATATAGTACAACAAAGAAAAAAATTACAAAAACTGTTCATTTTGCTAATACCGCAACAGGCAATTGAAAG